ATCATCTACCTATCTATCTATCTATCTATCTATCTATCTATCTATCTATCTATCATCTATCTATCTATCTATCTATCTATCTATCTATCTATCTATCTATCATCTATCTATCTATCTATCTATCTATCATCTACCTATCTATCTATCTATCTACCTATCTATCTATCTATCTATCTATCTATCTATCTATCTATCATCTATCTATCTATCTATCTATCTATCTATCTATCTATATATCTATCTATCTATCTATCATCTACCTATCTATCTATCTATCTATCTATCTATCTATCTATCTATCTATCTATCTATCTATCTATCTATCTATCTATCTATCTATTGGTGCTCGGCTTGGTCAGGACTGGAGCTGGAGGATTTACCTATTGTCATTGTTTGTAGTGGTAGGAGAAACCAGAGCACAGACACCTACAAAGACACGGGGAGAACATGCAAACTCCACTCAGAGAGGCCCTGTTCCTTCCGGTATTCTAACCCAGAGTTTTCTTGAGAGGCAAGAATGCTAACCACTCAGCCACCGTGCTGCCCATGTTTCATTATAACATAAAAACCTATGGCTTATATTCAAGTGCGGCTTATATGTGGAGTATATATTAGAGTTTATATTTAAAAGTCTAAAATAAACAGGTGAGCTTTGTAGTCCAGCGAGTAGAGGCCTGAAATATGCTTGATTGTGTTTTCTTGACTTTGTTGTTTTGGTTGATTCATGTTTGAGTAAAAATATTGCCCTGATTCTGAGGCTTCCACAATGATTGGTTAACCTGCCACCTATCCCCGCCCATTGCCAAAGATAACGGTGAACCATATCGATCGCAGTAGAGCAATTCTTTCTCTGCATTTGACCCAGAACCCTGATGCCACTAAGGCTTACGTCAGGAGCAGTGGTTGCCGTAGTAACAGCGCCCGGGAACCCATGTCCAGACGTTGATGCTCGGCTCGGTCAGGACCAGAGCTGGAGGATTTAACCTATTGTACATGCTTTTAGTGGCAGGGGAAACCGGAGAAGACACGGGGAGAACATGCAGACTCCGCTCAGAAAGACCCTGCTCCAACTGGGATTCGAACCCATTCTTGCTGAGAAGCGCGAGGGCTAACCACTCAGCCAGTATTTAGCTTTGATGATCCAAAACTGATTTTCAAACCATTGACTGTAAATATAATTCATATTTGCATAATGAGTTACTGAAATGGGGGCGACAGTGGCTCAGTTGGTAGAGCCTTTGGGCCTGAAGGTCGTGGGTTCGAGCCCACCACAAGACCTACATCACGACTCCCACGGATGTCCGCTGTTGTTGTGTCCTTGGGTAAGACACTTAACCCCACTTTGCCTGAAGCCCCCGCTGAAAGATCAAGGCTCTTATGGACTCAGCCCCTGCAGGAGGATCAGTGAGGGGCTGGTGCTGCTCTGACTGCCACCCCCGACCCAGAAATGGATTAAGGGGAAGAAAATGGATGGGTGGTTACAAAAATCTCACTTTTTAAGGCCATCTTCATTTTGGGCATGCTACATTTATAAAACATGTAAATGAATATATGGCTCAAGTATTTCAGCACTAAAATCAGTTGTTGTTATTAAAGCCAAAATAGCTGTAACCATGAGCTGGACTTGAAGCTGGTCCACGCCACGAACCCTGGGCCTGGACTGTCACGGTCTGATCGGCAAAAAACTGTTTATTATTATGAGTCATGACCAGTACAACTATTCCCTGGATTAAAATCAAAGAGGTTTGGGGTGATGCAATATTCAAAGACAACCGTTATGACTGCATATGCTAGCAAGCAACCCGCCACCTGAAGCTAACGTCAATATTTAGTATTTTACTTAGTTTATTCTTGTATGGTCCTGAATCACAACAGTGGTTTTCTCAGAGAACTTTACTAAATCGTTGAAATCGTCTACACAGATCAGAGAATCAAACACAGAGAATACAGGACACATGGTATTGGACCATAGGGAGAGACCATGAATGTTGCAGAGTGTCCAGGATCATCACCACAGTCCTTTTAGTTAGACCCACTATTGGCTGCAGTTTCTTTGGTTGAATCTGCTCCGACCAATCAGAGAGTGGGGGAGGCGGGTGTTGTAGGTCGTTGTCGGTGACGTCAAGAGTTTGTGCTGAATTTGCTGGTTGTAGTTTGTCTGAGAATGCGATAGTAAAATAATCTGTTCTGGTTCAATCCAAATATCAAGAAACTGAAGCCGGAGCAAGAGGAATGTTTAGTAAATGTCATTGAAGCAAAGATGTTGTGGCTTTACTCCCCACGGGATCCGTTAGTGGCAAAGGAGATGCTAAAGCTAGGCTAAATGCTAAAGCTAGGCTAAATGCTAAATGCCTCACTCACTCGGGCTCATTACGTCACGGTAAACTCAGATCCAATGGTTTCAATCTGCAAAAGGAGTTAGCCCCTCCCACCTGTTAACGGAGTCAATGGAGCAAATCCAGACCTTAGTAAGAAATGAAATGTGTACTATGGTGCGGTAAGACCAGGTTAGCCTTCTCCCTATCAGTGGAGGATTCACATGGGATCGCCAAAGCTTCCACCACCACCAGAGTCTAGTCTTCAGGTCTGCAGGTCTACACAGAACGGAACAATGCAAATGTGCCTCAATAAACGTATAAACTTTAAGACATCATTAATGTGTCTGAGTTGGATCGATTCAGGGTCAGAGCCACCGAGGTTTTGCCGTACAGACATATCTATAAAGGATACAGTAGATTATTTTGGTTGGATGAGATTTATTTTTATTTAATCAGGAAAGTCCCATTGAGATTTAAAACCTCTTTTTAAACGGAGTCCTGGACAAAATTTAGACAGTTACAGACAATTACAGATTATAAAAACAGTTCCATGACAATGAGGACGTCTCAGTCTCAATCTGAATTTAAAAGCGTTCAATAAAATAAATTCAGATCATTTCCAGTCTTTTTGCATCACTTTCCATCTAAAAAGAGCAGTATTTACTAAATCCTTTTCCCAGGAACAGACAGCAACAAAAGATCATGTGACCACAAACCGTAAGAACCAACATGTCTCTGTGTGATTAAAGAAGGCAGCGGACCAAGGCCTTATAAACCACTTTACATTGAGATGAAAACACAATAGAAATCTTTCACAAAAAAATTTAAATAAACCAGTGTTCTTTATAACACCAAAACAAATATATAGAACCATTTAAAATACATAACACATTCTTGGATGCATTCTTTATGGATCAAAGCCAATCTTTTACCGTCCCTAACCCATGGATTTGTACTTACTGGTGATTATCCAAACATTCTCACTCCATAACCGATGTGTTTAGTGAAGAGACAGTTTTAAACATTATGAAACAGATCTATGCAGGAGATTATCAGTTCTACAGTTTTTTAGTAGTTTGATAAATGAAAGGTTCTAATGTGGACCATGGGCGGCACGGTGGCTGAGTGGTTAGCACTCTCAGCAAGAAGGTCCTGGGTTCGAATCCCTGTTGGACCAGGGCCTTTCTGAGTGGAGTTTGCATGTTCTCCCCGTGTCTGCGTAGGTTTCCTCCAGGTGCTCCGGTTTCCCCTATCACTAAAAATATGTACAATAGGTCTGGCATGTGCCTCCTGTACTGGCCCCGCTCCCAAAAAAATAACAATTGTAAACCGCTTTGAGACTCAGATGTGCAGTGAAAAGGCGGTATATAAATAAATATTACTTACTTACCATCAGCCACATCCAATGGAAACCATGTGACACACACGATCAGCTGGTACCATAACAAACATCCCTGATTTGCTTCAAAAATACTGTTTTTTTTGCGTTTGAAGAAAGGTCAGACGGAAATCTCACAAAATCTCTCGAGATCAAGCGTGACTTCAGAGCAAACAATCATTGAGGACGAAGAGAATTCAGCGGCAATAGTTTATTTTATTTTTTTTAACAGAGAAAAAGTGTTATTAAAAGAATAGTTAAATAGTTGGTCCTCCATCTCCGACGTCCACCTGGTGCTGCCGCTGCCTGTTATGATTTTTTTTACGGTGTTTCGTCGCCGCCTCGTCACCTGGTCTTCTGATTGGCTCGACGCCGCAGTCCACTGGCAGCGTGCTCGTCTGTCCCCGACACCACACACCAAGAGAAATGGAGCCAAAATAATCCAACAAGTCCTTCTGAGCCGCAGTCTTAACACATGGAAAATACAACAGATCTTTTCTACAAAAATCGGAGCGTTTTTAAGATTGTCGTTAGAGACAAATCGGTTCTTAAATCGGCCTAATTATCCTGCCGTGTTTTGATTGTATTACTTTCTGTTTTGTGTTATTTTAATTGCCTTCTATCTCTGCCAAGCTGCCAATCTTCCGCGGCTCGGGGCAGACATTTTGCAATTTAGTTTAGTCTTTGTCCTGTCACTTGTGCCAGTTCTTCAGTTCAGTGACGTACAAAGTTTAGATTACACTTTGGGTTTTGTCGAGTGCTTACTTGTAAGTAAGTAAGTAGTAATTTATATACCGCCTTTTCACTGCACATCGGAGTCTCAAAGCGGTTTACAATTGTTATTTTTGGGAGCGGGGCCAGTACAGGAGGCACATGCCAGACCTATTGTACATATTTTTAGTGGTAGGGGAAACCGGAGCACCCGGAGGAAACCTACGCAGACACGGGGAGAACATGCAAACTCCACTCAGAAAGGCCCTGGTCCAACTGGGATTCGAACCCAGGACCTTCTTGCTGAGAGGCGAGAGTGCTATCCACTCAGCCACCGTGCCGCCCAATTGTTTAATTTGGTTATTTATTTACTCTGTGTGTTCTGTAGATTTGTAATCCTATATTGTTCCCTTTTTTACCTATTTTGTCATCCTAATCAATTATGGTTCTAGTTACCATTCTAACATCTGGGTTATTCTGTTACCTCCTGACACCTAAGCTGAGCCGGGTCATAACAGTCACAAACAAACATGAACTAAAAAATAAAATAAATGTGTCTTCTCGTTGCTGACTGTGTGTTTATGTGACGGCAGGTACATCGGTGCGCTGGGGGCCCGGGTGATCTGCTCCCATATCCCTGGCCTGGTCAGCAAACAGCGACAGCTCTGCCAGAGACACCCGGACCTGATGCAGTCCATTGGGGAGGGGGCCAAGGAGTGGATCAAAGAGTGCCAACACCAGTTCAGACACCACCGCTGGAACTGCAGCACCCTGGACCGCGACCACAGCGTGTTTGGCCGAATCATGCATCGGAGTAAGTTACAGATTTATAAACTCTGGTCCATGGTCATTTCCTACATGTACGTCTGGTCTTACCATGTGTAAACTTTGGTCCATGATCATCTCCAACATGTACGTCTGGTCTTACCATGTGTAAACTCTGGTCCATGGTCATTTCCTACATGTACGTCTGGTCTTACCATGTGTAAACTTTGGTCCATGATCATCTCCTACATGTACGTCTGGTCTTACCATGTGTAAACTCTGGTCCATGGTCATTTCCTACATGTACGTCTGGTCTTACCATGTGTAAACTCTGGTCCATGGTCATTTCCTACATGTACGTCTGGTCTTACCATGTGTAAACTCTGGTCCATGGTCATTTCCTACATGTACGTCTGGTCTTACCATGTGTAAACTCTGGTCCATGATCATCTCCAACATGTACGTCTGGTCTTACCATGTGTAAACTCTGGTCCATGGTCATTTCCTACATGTACGTCTGGTCTTACCATGTGTAAACTCTGGTCCATGATCATCTCCTACATGTACGTCTGGTCTTACCATGTGTAAACTCTGGTCCATGAACATTTCCTACATGTACGTCTGGGTCTGATCCTAGTGGCTGCAGTTTCCTCGGTTGAATCCCCTCCGACCAATCAGAGAGCGGGGGAGGCGGGTGTTGTAGGTCGGTGTCGGTGACGTCAAGAGTTTGTGCTGAATTTGTTGGTTGTAGTTTGTCTGAGATGTACGTCTGGACCATGTGTAAACTCTGGTCCATGGTCATTTCCTACATGTACGTCTGGTCTTACCATGTGCAAACTCTGGTCCATGATCATCTCCAACATGTACGTCTGGTCTTACCATGTGTAAACTCTCGTCCATGATCATTTCCTACATGTACGTCTGGTCTTACCATGTGTAAACTCTGGTCCATGAACATTTCCTACATGTACGTCTGGGTCTGATCCTAGTGGCTGCAGTTTCCTCGGTTGAATCCCCTCCGACCAATCAGAGAGCGGGGGAGGCGGGTGTTGTAGGTCGGTGTCGGTGACGTCAAGAGTTTGTGCTGAATTTGCTGGTTGTAGTTTGTCTGAGAATGTGATAGTAAAATAATCTGTTCTGGATCAATCCAAATATCAAGAAACTGAAGCCGGAGCCAGAGGAATGTTTAGTAAATGTCATTGAAGCAAAGATGTTGTGGCTCTACTCCCCTCGGGCCCCGTTAGTGACAAAGGAAATGGCTAAAGCTAAGCTAAATGCTAAAGCTAGGCTAAATGCTAAATGCCTCACTCACTCGGGCTCATTACATACGTCACGGTAAACTCAGATCCAATCGTTTCAATCTGCAAAAGGAGTTAACCCCTCCCACCTGTTCACGGAGTCAATGGACCTTAGTACGAAATGAACTGAGTACGATGGTATGGTAAGACCAAGCTAAACTTTTTGTTTCATAAAAATAGTCTGTTGTTTGTCTTGCAAAATTAAAATGTGAACAAATCAGACCATAACAAGAGCTTTGCATAAATAAAGTGACAGTGAAAAAATGCTGTCACTGTTTTGTTTGAATCAGTGGATCTAAAAATACACACACGTGAGAACAGTTTAAGAGCAAGGAACAAGTGAGATGGGTTTTATTATACTGTTCCATTACTAGCTCAAAAGTTAGGTTCTCCAGCTTTGCAAATGGGATATGAAAGATGCGTTTAATTTATCTCTGTGATGTATGAATGACTTTAACATAACAGTCGTTTAAATATCCATAGAATGTAGTGTGTGCAAAACATGGATTATTTAGTCAGAATTACCAAATCAGACACACTCATGCAAGTCTGTTCTTTTCAGCCACACTGGGCCAAAACAGAGATGACCTAATATGGATGTTGTAAACCAATTTGATAGCTGTTCATCCATAGCCAAACACACACACACACACACACACACACACACATCATACATAATAACAAATCTAGAATCTGGAATTTTAGAGACAAAAAACAACATTCTAAGCGACTGCCCCACTGAAAACTGCTTCCAACGTCGCCGCCCTTTGCGTGACAATGTCTGTTTATACCGACGGCCGATGGCTCTCGTAAATGTCCCCTCCAGATAATGGCAGAATGAATAGGTGTCAACTCTGACCTATTGAGAAAGTGCTCGGTTCCCAAAAAACAAGTAGCAGAAAGAGAGATCTGCAGTGCTGATGTATAAACAGTAATCGGAGATGTAAATATTTGGGTGGATGTTTCTGGCCCGTAGACAAAGCGCTACTCCCCGACATACCGCCTGTGTTCTGCTCGGTTGCGTGAGCAGGAATGAGAGTGTGGGGAGGTGGGTGGGAAAAGCCAGACCAAATACCCCCCCCCTTCAAATCTGCCCTGTTCTTTTGAAATGAAAACACACAGGCCAGTGACAGGGAGGATCATCATACAAGCACAATGTGTGGGACCGAAGCCGCTACCTGTTCCACTGTCTCTCACATTGTAAGTAGTAAGTAAGTAAGTAAGTATTTATATACCGCCTTTTCACTGCAGATCTGAGTCTCAAAGCGGTTTAAAAGTGTTATTTTATATTTATTTTTGGGCATTTGTCACTCCACACAGAGATGGGAGCGGGGTCGCCAGTACATGAGGCGCATGCCAGACCTATTGTACATATTTTTAGTGGTAGGGGAAACCGGAGTACCCGGAGGAAACCTACGCAGACACGGGGAGAACATGCAAACTCCACTCAGAAAGGCCCTGGTCCGACCGGGATTCGAACCCAGGACCTTCTTGTTGAGAGGCGAGAGTGCTATCCACTCAGCCAACGTGCCACATGAGCTTTATACTGTAGTAAGTTAGTAATGTTTAATTATATAGCGCATTTTACAGAGGTCAGACCCAAAGCACTTTACAATGTTCAGAGTTCAGATATTGTTCCAATCCTTCCACACACAGTGATGACAGAAGCGATTCCAGAACACACTGTACCATCAAAGCCTCCGACCAAACACCATCCATTCACTCTCTCATCTACACTCAGACTATTGCGCATGTTTTTAGTGGTAGGGGAAACCAGAGCACCCGGAGCAAACCTACGCAGACACGGGGAGAACATGCAAACTCCACTCAGAAAGGCCCTGTTTTCCGACCGGGATTCAGCCAATTGTCAGTTATTTGGGGTTATCATACTGACTGTGTGTTTGGCGGTTTATCTGTGAGTCACAAAACTTAAAATGTAGTGTGTTTATGAGTGCGTTTGAACATTTGGTTTTGTTTGTGTGATTATATATAAAGTCTGCACACATGTTTCAAAATATTCAAATGCAATGAAATCAAAACACAAATGTGAATTATCTTGCATTATTATACCAACAACAAATTGAAAATACAAACTTGAAAAGGCTTGAGTGTCTGACTTTTGGGTTTTGTGTCTATATAAATACATTTATCACATATTGTCATTTTTTTAAAGCATTTTTATTTTTTGTTTGAATCATGTTTTTTAGAGGTAGATCTAGTTTTCTGGCATAACTTCTGTGACAATTGTATAACTCATTTACTGCCATTGACGTATTTGTCTGAGACCCTCTTTTCGACTGGGGATTACAGGACAATAAAAAGAGCTAAAAACAAACTTATTTTTGCTGATGAAAGTAGACAATCCAGTTTTTCAGAATCTGGTTTCAAACTTCCCCATAGTCTTAGGAATAATATTCTGTACGTCTTGAGAATCAGTGAAATCATCAAAAATGGCTGCCAGTCAATGAGTTTATCAATTTGTCTTTTTTGACCTAAGATAGTTTTAATGGTTTGCTTTTCTAATCTCAGAATCAGAATCATTCATTTGCCATTTGCAGTAAAACCACATTGGAAAAACTGTGCAAGACTACCCCAGTGTGCACCAGACGACACACACCAGAGCTCTTGCCACGGCGCTATCTTTACGGCGCCATGCCTGGTATTGTCCGTTTCCAAGTCCTTTGAGATTCTTGGTGTAAAATACGTTGATTTAAGTTATTTCAACAAGCAGAAGTCTGACGCAGGCTTCTCTGTGTGGTCAGGCAGCAGAGAGGCGGCCTTCGTCTACGCCATCTCGTCAGCCGGAGTGGTTTATGCCATCACCAGAGCGTGTGGGCAGGGGGAACTGAAGATGTGCGGCTGTGACGAGAGGAGAGGCCAGGGCACGGATCACAGAGGCACCTTCGACTGGGGCGGCTGCAGCGACAACATCCACTACGGCATACGCTTCGCCAAAGCCTTCATTGACGTCCAGGAGAGGAGAGTGCGAGACGCCCGGGCCCTCATGAACCTGCACAACAACCGCTGCGGGCGCATGGTGAGACTCCGCCCACTTCACACATGTACATCACGTGTGGATCAGTTAGAGACTTTTTAGAGAGGAGAAGAAGGTAGAAGTTATGTACGGACATAAAAACAGGTTTGCACTTTGGAACCATGGGATTGTCGCTTATGATTCTGATTCAAACCCTTAGCTTTACAGATCTGATATGGGCATAATTAAGAACGCAACAATTCACTGCTAATGGCCTTAAGTATCTTCTGATATTCAACACGAAGTAACACACGAAATCGTGAAAAAAAATGTTATAGTTATTATCAATTACATTTTGGATAGATATTTTTGAATCGCTGCCAGTATAACAACAACAACAACTTATTCTTGTTTAGCCCCAAATCATAACAGAAGTCATCTCAGAGACTTAACAAAACCATTGACATCACCAACACAGATCAGAGAATCACCTGTTAAGACACAAAATATAAACATATGAATCGGTCCAAGGGAGAGACCAATGTCCTTGAAAGTTGATAAATGTCATACATGTTGTAGAATGTTAAAATGTCCTGGATCATAACAGTCCTTCTAGTTGGACACTGACTGCCCAACAAAACTCACAAAAACCCAGTGGGAAAAAAGTGAGAAACCTCGGGGAGACCCATAGTTTGAGAAAGGGATCTGCTCCACACGGACGGACAGTATAGTACAAAGTGATTTGATGAATTGTCAACTCTCGTGCTCTTGGGCAACACACTTTCACTTAGATTCACAACCTGTACATGTATAAATAGTTGTAGTCGATCTGCCTCAGCCTTCAGAGCCACACATCTAAGAAGTTTGAAACATAATGGACGATAAAAATGATTAAAAAAAATGTAAACAATTCGAAAGAAAATCTGATGGAAGCTCATTTCACCTGAATACGTCTCCTTTATTTAGTAAATACAGTATTTGTATTTGCTGCTGTGGAATCTGAGCAATCTAAGTATCACCTGTAGGACTTTGCCTGAACACACCTCCACGTCCTCTCTGTCTAAACCCTGTGCCCTTTGCCCTTTGCCCTTTGCCCTTGCTCCAGGCAGTGAAGCGCTTCATGAAGCCTGAGTGCAAGTGTCACGGGGTGAGCGGCTCGTGCTCCCTCCGGACGTGCTGGATGGCCATGGCCGACTTCAGGCAGACGGGCGACTACCTGTTCAAGAAGTACAACTCTGCGGTGGAAGTCATCATGAACCAGGACGGTACGGGCTTCAGAGTAGCAGAGCGAGACTACAAAGGGAACATCAAGAACGAGCTGGTCTACGTGGAGAACTCTCCGGACTACTGCCTCATGGACCGAGCAGCAGGTGAGGCCTTTCACACTGACGCAGACCCACGTAGACCCATCCAAGCAATAGTGGAGCTCTGGATAAAGGGCTAATTCTTCAATAATGGATCAACATCTGTCATAATTCAGTGAAGCTTTTTGCAATTGACTATTTATTTTGGTAAGTTGTGGTTGGGCTGGTGCAGACTGCCCCCCCCCAACCCAGAAATGGATTAAGGGGAAGAAAATGGATAGATGGAAGTTACGGTCCCAGTGTGAACTAATTTTCTGTTTCATGTTTGTTAAGGTCCAGTGATGTTATGTTTCCACGTGTCTGCTTTGACTAACCTCTGCTTTTGACGTCTGTATGAGACCAGAAACTGTTGCTTGTTTGTGGATGGTTGTGACATGGACCTTTTGTGGGACTTATGATGAAAACAGCCTTTAGGCCTAAATCTGGCACGTGCACGGTCCCATTAAAATAAACAAATAAATAGATAAGATAAGTATAGTCGTGGGGAAATGTTTATGTCATTGTTGCACATAACAGCAGAGAAAGAAGAAAATAAGGCTCGGATTACACACATCAAACAGGGTCTGGTGTTTAAGATAATAGAGCATAACATTAAAATGGTACAATAATAAGTAATAGGATGATAAATTATGATAGAATATAAATTAGATAAAACTCTCACGGTTCAGAGGTATTTACAGATGTGTATGTTGTACTTTAGCAGCAGAGAATATGACCAGAATAAACAATAGTAACAATAGCAGCAGGTAAAGTGACAAATTCAAATTTTCAAAGTATTTGCAAAACAGTAAAAAGTATTTAGCCTAGCCTTAGCTAACCGTACACTCCGCTCAATCATCATGTCCTGCATGTAACGTCTGGGTCTGGTCCCTGTGTTTGTGATTACAATCAGATGAATTCCATCCGACCAATCAGAGAGCGCGGGAGGCGGGTGTTGTAGTTAGTTGTGGGTGACGTCAAGAGTTTGCGTCAAACGGGCAGGTTGTAGTTTGGCGGAGGATGAGATAGTAAAGTATTCTGGTCTGGTTCTAACAAGAAATTGAAGCCGAAGCAAGAGGAATGTTTAGCAAATGTAATTGCTGAAAAGATTGTGGCGCTACTCCCCACGGGCTCCGTTAGCGGCAAAGGAGACGGATAAAGCTAGGCTAAATGCTAAATGCTAACGACTCACTCGGGTGCATTACAAACGTGACGGTAAACTCAGATCCAATCGTTTCAATCTGCAAAAGGAGTTAGCCCCTCCCATCTGTTCACGGAGCTCAATCGAGACCTTAGTACCAAATGTAATTTGTACTATGGTGTGGTACGACCAGTGGGGGAGCGTCCCGGCTCAAAAGTGGCCAAAATAACGTGCGCTGACATGCTGCAATACCACCCCGGGCCGATGGGGGTGGACCCAGAAGAAGAATTAGCCAATGCTAACATATAGCGTTAGCAGACCTCTCAAAAACGTCTTTACAGGATGGACCAAAAGTTGTCTCTTGGCCCAAAGCTCCGTTCCACATGTGTGTCAATGCTGAAGGGGATGTTTTTGGTCCACTCTAGTTTACTTGCTGTGAACTTTTGAAGTCTCTCGTTCAAATCAATGGAGCTGCGTCGGCTGACACATGCGCAGATGCGTTTTTTAACAATTTTCTTGTGGGCGGGACCACTCGCAGCCATTTTGGATAGCTCCAGTAGAGCAATTTTTTTGGCCCATTAGTTAGAACGGCGGAGATAGGCGTGACCTGTCCATTAATATATACAGTCTATGGTAATAATGCAAATGTCAAGTGGAAATTTCTGGAGGCAAAATACAACATTTGAATTATCATACAAACATGATATTATCACGATTGTATTTGATAATTGTGGTACAAACATGTACAGCCTTTTACAGTGATGTGTCATGAGGTTATTTTTCTCTTTTTTGTCTAAAGTACCACATGAAGTTTAGCTTCTTTTCAACATTTAAAATCATTAAACCATGCACAGAAGGATTACACAACACTGCACTTATCTATTGTTCAATTGTGTATTGTTTTCAAAGCGATCAATCTACTGTTTATTACGTCACGCTATAACAACATTGTCGTCTCAAACTTCTACCACATCCCGAGCTCCCGCCGTTACAGTAACAAAACCATCTTCTCCGAAACAAAAGCACCTAAAGACTATTTACACCACAATCTCTGAGGACCCAGCACTCCCCTGAAGACCTGCATTCCTCCACAGCTTAGAGTTCAATGATTTAACCTTTTCGCATCCCCTTTAATTCAGCCTGTTTGCTTTGCCTTGTTAAGCCCCATCTCCCTCCTCCAATCTTGCCTCTCCAGCAAAGCATCAAACCGTTTCACTTTGTAACCAAGTCGGCCAGTGGCGATGCCGTTAATTTACCCAACCTCCCGAGAGCTATTGGCTTCCCTTCGCTCCGGCAAGAAAGACGTAATGTAGGGCTCGACGGCGGTCACTCCACTGAAAGGCTGCTGTCTGCGCCTTTGAAGAAGTGATGCTAAAGTGGAGATTATGACCCTCCTTGTCGCTAATCTCCATTGTAAAGGTATTCAGCGCCTGAGGATACATGCTGGATTATTTTTCAAATCCAGTCTTTGGTCACTCTAAGCCCTCTTGAAAGCCTAAGGCAGAAGGTTTCATCATTAACCAGGAAAGCTGATGAGATGTTGTCACAAGTATAGCACCTGAGCGAGATACTGTTGTGTTTTATCCAACGCCACTTCAGGCTGTGGGAACAGAGGAAGCAGAAGAAGTTGGATCAGTTTGCAGCGTCAACAAAAGTGGGGGAAGTGGTCGGTGGTCGTGTGGCAACAGTATCTTCTGGATGTTGCTATTTCAAAGTCTCTCTTTATGGCATAGACTGTAGAAGTGACGCCTACTTATATCTCCGCTGTTGAAACTAATGGGACCTCACTTTTGCCTTCTGTGGGCTTTTTCAAAATGGCCGCAGAGCAGAAAAATGTGAAAAAATGCATTTGCCAACACATTGGCCAGCACTAGCCCCAACCATTTAACGAGTGCATTCAAAAGTCCATAGCGGCTTAACTAGACTGGTCCAAAAAAGTAAATGCTCCCCTCACCATCAACAGCATCTAGAACCAAGCGCGAATTGTGGATCATCCTGTAAAGAGGTTTTCAAGCGGGAAGAAGGCGCCATACAAAAGCATCTGGTAATTCTGTTTCCGGGTACACCCCCACCGCCGGCAAGGAGTGAGATTACAGCATGTCAGCGGACAGCGAACTCACGGACCTTTTGGAGCCAGGACCTGCCTCACACTGGTTTATAGTGGAAACAGATAAAATGGATAAAATGCTAATGTTGAAGGCAAGGCAAGTTTATTTATATAGCACAATTCATACACAAGGCAACTCAAAGTGCTGAACAAAACAAGAAAGCATTAAAATCATAAATAATCACAGAACATTAAAAAGAAAGCTAAAAATATAAAATCCCTCAGTTGTATGCACAGCTAAACAGAACTGTCTTTAACCTGGTTTTAAACATTGTCAGAGAGGAGGCCTGTCTCACATCTTCAGGAAGACTGTTCCAGATTTTAGATGTTCCAGATGTTGAATATATAACCATTAGACAAGTTCAATAAGATAAGAGCTATTTTTTAAAGCAAAAAGGAAAAAGATGCAGTTAGATGCAAGCAGGACTTTGACTGGGCCGTTCTCACACATGTTTATATTCTGTATGATGTTAAAGCGGTGTGTGCACTCAGAGAAATGCTGCCTGTTCATTTCTGCAGGTACCACTTGCAGAAATAAAAAATCTGTAAGCTCTGAGGAGCACAGGGACTGGACTCCTGTTAGTGCCCAGAGTCAGAACTAAACATGGGGAGGCTGCTTTTCAGATTCATGCTGCTAAAATCTGGAACAGTCTTCCTGAAGATGTGAGACAGGCCTCCTCTCTGACAATGTTTAAAACCAGGTTAAAGACAGTTCTGTTTAGCTGTGCATACAACTGAGGGATTTTATATTTTTATCTTTCTTCTTTATGTACTGTGATTATTTATGATTTTAATGCTTTCTTGTTTTGTTCAGCACTTTGAGTTAACTTGTGTATGAATTGTGCTATACAAATAAACTTGCCTTGCCTTGCCTTGCCTTAAAATTACAAGATTATATTTTTTTTCCTTTTGTTTCTTTTTTTTATTTTTTATTTTTTATTTATTTGCTCATGTTTCACTTCACTGTTGTCTGTTACTTACTCCCGAAAGGCACTGTAACCATCGAAGTCACACTTAAAGGAGCTGTACCCATTTCTGCAAGGTTTAAATGTTTAGCCCCGCCCCCAACGCTCTCATTCCACAGAGCCATCTAGTTTTATTTGCGATCAGATACACATGCTAACATTAGCGGATTGCGCAATCTGAGTGCTCTTATTTCCTTTCTCTGCTGTAATGTGCGCAACGATGACACTGACATTTCTCCACTGTGACACTAATAAAGGTTTATCCTATCTTATCTCATTAGCATTAGCGCAACTTCTTGTAGGCTGTACAACAATCACTGATGAAATGGTACAAAAGCTCTCTCTTCCTCACTGTTGTGTGGTTTGGGCTGTTTTGCTGTGTCTGCAGTTACAGCCAGAGGAGTTATAGCCACTTATGCTAACATGCTACTGTGTTTAGCAGCGCTGTAGAGGCTAGAGGACGCAGCCTCGTTCTGTGAAGCTGAATCAATGAGCTCAAGTTTTACATTAAATTACGGATTTTAATACAACTTGTTTGTAGTAATAAGCATTTTTATCAACTAACAAAAAAAAACAACGGGTATAGCTTCTTTAATTAAGTGAACTCTGGTGCACTTTGGGTTATTTACGCTTTGTTTGTGGAGATTTGAAAGCACCAAACAAGTACACCTCGTTCACTTCATTTAAATCAGTTTGGTCATGAGACTGCTGCATTTGCTTCTTGTTTTTGTGCGATACATTTTTTATTACATTCTTGTTTCCATCACTGATTCATAAGTACATGTGATCCCGGTTGTTACATTATTATATGATTAGACTGTATGTTCTCGCCTCTCAGCAAGAAGGTCCTGGGTTCGAATCCCGCTCGGACCAGGGCCTTTCTGAGTGGAGTTTGCATGTTCTCCCCGTGTCTGCGTAGGTTTCCTCCGGGTACTCCGGTTTCCCCTACCACTAAAAATATGTCCAATAGTTCTAACATGCACCTCCTGTACTGGCCCCTCCCATCTCTGTGTGGAGCGAGAGACAAATGCCCAAAATTAACAATTGTAAACCGCTTTGAGACTCAGATCTGCAGTGAAAAGGCGGTATATAAATAAAAACTTACTTACTTACATGTCAAAACAAATACTGTACTCGCCTACATCACACGCCCAATAAATACTTCCACCCGTCAGTCCAGAGGGAACAGAGTGACCCCCGTCCACTTCTACCAAACACAGTAAACAAAGCAGCCGTGGACGACCCTGTAAACTGTAAAGTGACTATAATTAGGTTTGGCTCAGTCAAAACTAAACTGCACCGATGCGTTACTTTTGGGTCAATGACACAAAAAAGTCCAGAAATGTCGCGGTCGCTACTGCAGAAGCTTCACAGACCCTTGTTTTGTTTCTTGTTTGTCCAGTGGGGGGCGCACTACTTAAACACTTACGTCCAAAACGCCCAGTTTGTCTGCAGATTATCTTTTTTTCTTTTTTACATAATGTATAATCTATAATTCAAGATTGATTCTAGTTATATCCCCAAAGCATTAACCTTTAAATAGTCCCTGTCATGTCTTAAATGCAACAACTGTGTCTCCAAAGATCAATACTATTTTTTTTGAAAGGCATATTTTTTTTTTAACGGTTTAGAGCTGCCTTCTGACATTATCCCACATCAGCTCCATAGTATTAAAGAATTATGAAGTACAAACATTTTTAGCTCATACGTTTTATGCCGCTTGATGTTTGTACAGTTTATCCTGAACTGAGCGTCTTCATATTTGTACTGATTTATTTGTAAGTAAGTAAGTAAGTTTTTATTTATATACCGCCTTTTCACTGCAGATCTGAGTCTCAAAGCGGTTTACAATTGTTAATTTTGGGCATTTGTCTCTCGCTCCACACAGAGATGGGAGCGGGGCCAGTACAGGAGGCGCATGTTAGAACTATTGGACATATTTTTAGTGGTAGGGGAAACCGGAGTACCCGGAGGAAACCTACGCAGACACGGGGAGAACATGCAAACTCCACTCAGAAAGGCCCTGGTCCGGCCGGGATTCGAACCCAGGACCTTCTTGCCGAGAGGCGAGAGTGCTATCCACTCAGCCACCATGCCGCCCATTTGTTCCTTTCATGAACATGCTTTTCCTCTAATTACACTGTCCACACAATGATAATGTGGAAATCAAAATACTTTACACGAATGGAAAGGAGCAGATAAGAACAATTTTACGTTTATTCCATTATATTGAAATTTGAGAAAGTAATGACACAGGCCTATAATTATATATAATTATAAGTAATATAATATAATAATATGCAGTGGTTCAATCGAGGTAGTTAGGTCAAAACCATAGAATTTAAATATAGACATAGTGAACTTTTTGAAAAGTTCCTGTAAAGCCGTTGTAGAGGAAAGAAGGCTGCACCCTAAAGCATTGGGTAATTCTCTTTCCAGGTACACCCCCACAGGCTAGGATTAGATTACAAAGCCTCCATGATGTTGATCTAACAAGAACCCCCATCTCTACTGTCTCCAGGCTCCTTGGGCACGGCTGGCCGAGAGTGCAACAAGTCTTCCCGTGGGACGGACGGTTGTGAGGTCATGTGCTGTGGGCGGGGCTACGACACGATGCCCGTCAAACGTGTGACTAAGTGTGAGTGCAAGTTCAAATGGTGCTGCGCGGTGGAGTGTCAGGACTGTGAGGACGAGGTGGACATCCACACGTGTAAACCCCACAAGAGGCCCTAATGAAAGAACCTGGCCAGCCCCGAGCGTGACTGATGCATTCTGGGAAATGTAGGATCACTGCCTGAACTACATGAACTATGGACAGCTGCTGAATCTGGCCTGATGGACTCAGCGAGGAGCAAAACTGGACAGTAGACATAGTTTCTCATTTGCTGCTTTATAAAGTTTAAACATGGGATGTGTAAATGTTACCTGCTTGTTTAAAAACGTGTGTTGAAATACACATTACACTTTACTATAGCCTACATATACAGTAGCAGTGGGTAAAGCAAGAGTAGATGTAAAAATGAAAATAATATAATATTTAGGCAATATTTGTCACTGTGAATTGTGTGTAAAAATGTGTTAATATGTATCAAAGGCTCTTTTACCCAAAAAAACAAATTAGTTGTCGGTGTATAAGTAAATAAGCCTGGTCTTACCATGTGTAAACTCTGGTCCATGGTCATTTTCTACATGTACGTCTGGGTCTGATCCTAGTGGCTGCAGTTTCTTCGGTTGAATCCCCTCCGACCAATCAGAGAGCGGGGGAGGCGGGTGTTGTAGGTCGGTGTCGGTGACGTCAAGAGTTTGTCCTGAATTTGTTGGTTGTGGTTTGTCGGAGAATGCGATAGTAAAATAATCTGTTCTGGTTCAATCCAAATATCAAGAAACTGAAGCCGGAGCAAGAGGAATGTTTAGTAAATGTCATTGAAGCAAATATGTTGTGGCTTTACTCCCCACGGGCTCCGTTAGTGACAAAGGAAATGGCTAAAGCTAGGCTACATGCTAAAGCTAGGCTAAATGCTAAATGCCTCACTCACTCGGGCTCATTATATACTGTACGTCACAGTAAACTCAGATCCAATTGTTTCAATCTGCAAAAGGAGTTAACCCCTCCCACCTGTTAACGGAGTCAATGGAGCAAATCCAGACCTTAGTAAGAAATGAAATGAGTACTATGGTTCGGTAAGACCAGGCTGTGGAAATAGGATGTTCATAATGAAACTACTTAAAACAAATCTTTTCAACCATAGTCAGTCTTCCTCATCACACAAAACGAAACACTCAGCTCTCTTCCCGCAAATGAGTTTAAAAAGTCCAAAGTATTATTGTCCTTTAAGTCCTGAACTCGGTGTAAAATAAAACATTGTGTAATCCCTAATCTCAGCATGAAGCCGACGGGTTTGTAAAAGCACTGCTGAGGACTTTACAAAAACAGCACTGAAGTAACCATAGACACTGATTTGGACTTTTCACCATATGGTACTGCAGCCAGGACGTCCCTTAGAGGCGCTTCCACGTTTAAATGAATCTGACAACAGGCCGCACACACCACACATACTTTCATACACACGTCATGACGAGCAGAGCCAAGGAAAAAGGCAAAATGTCAGACGTGAACAGGTCGCAGGCTAATTGCGAATTGTTGCATTTTGTTTTAAACGTAAATTGAGAATATGTTGGCTGTATTTTTGTAAAAGATTAGAAAGGTTAAGGGTTATGAAGAGAAATGGGGCTGTGTGGACGCATTGACTCTGCAGACTAGATCTCCACAATTAAATAAAAACTATAGAAAAATGAACTTAAAGGTTTTCTGCGTATTTTTTTTACCGTTGCTGCAAATGATAAAACATTTTAACCAATACAAATGTGACCTTTTTAAGAATATTCACCTCCACAATGTGTTTGAATTGTTATTATAGGCTTAGAATTTGACTTGTAAATGTCCAAGAGGCTGGAGGACTCTACATGTGAATCCGCCATCTTGGACTACAGTGGTTGATAAGGGACAAAAAGGAGTTTGAGCGGAGTCGGGGACCACTGTCAAAGACGCCATATGGTCCCGTGAAGCCACCGTAGTGCTGTAAATTTCAATATATGATCTCAATGCAAGACGGGAGTGAAAACTACACAGTGTAGCTTTAAAAGTCCAGGAAGTTGAATGTACCCGCTAAAGCAGTCGATTGTAGAAGTCTGTTTTCATCCATACATACAGTATATAAAAAATGATAATGTTCCTTAAATAAACTATTATCACAAAACAATAGTTTGTGTTTTGCAAATCTGTGTCAGAAAAGGCAATGTCAAAAAACACAGAACTGCCTCAATTTAATTTGAACAAAGCAGATCCGAAACTTCTATAACAGCGCCACTTTTTAGTTCACCAGACTTGTTTACCGACTGAGCTAATGTCTGAGGCGACAGTGGCTCAGTTGGTAGAGCATTGGCCTCTGAGCCTGAAGGTTGTGGGTTCCATTCCACCACAAGACTTTCTCCACCGACTCCCACTGTCTGCTGTTGACACTTATCCTCTGGGAACACCTGATGCCTTGTGTCCTTAGGCAAGACACTTCACCCCCATTGCCTAGAATGAGTCTGGTGTGTGTGTGAATGGTTGGTGGTGGTGGGAGGGGCCGATGCCTCGCTTCTGTCAGTGTGCCCCAGGGCAGCTGTGGCTACAGTAGTAGTTTATCACTTCTGTGTTTGTGTGAAAGAATAATTACATGTGAAGCGTCTTTGAGTGTCCAAAAAAGCACTATATAAAACCGATGCATTATTATTATTATTATTATTATTATTATTGTCCAGGGGCCGTCAACAATTTAAAGATTTTAAAACTGCTTTTCCTGTGTTTGGGCTGTTCTTTAAAATTGGGTTTGATTTACTGTACGAACGGAAATGTACACACTGTGAGATGAATAAAGAGTTTCTTAAAAATCTCTTCATTCACAAAACAACTGCACTGGAGCCATTTCGTAACAATCACAATTAAAAAACAAATACAGCTTCACAACAAGGTGCAGCATGAATGTATTAGTGAAGCTCAAGTTGGCTGGATGACACTGAAGTCTCCTCAATGGCTAGTTTGTGTTAGCAGCCTTAGTTTGGACATGGCTGGCCTTTTCTGCCCGTTGGTAAAAAGTGTGAAATGTATAAATGAAAAGGATTTCAGTTTCTGAACTGTTTAGGTTAAGATGAAGAGATCCTTTCCTGGTCCCACAGCGGGGAAATGTCAGTGTTGCATCTCCAGAACAGAACAGAAGGAATGAGGAGCCCACAGCACAAGATACATGAATATTACTTATGTACTAAAATATAATAAAATCTCTAACTCTAGCATCAGAATCATTATAAAATTTCTATCTTTAACATAATAAGGAAATAAGTCTAAACTCTCCAACTTTAGCAAGATTTAAAGGTACAGGAGGATTTTCTACTTCTGGGTGGATCATCAAGACTATTGGTCCTCACAAGTGTCAATCATTCTGGTGATAGGAGCTCGTCCAATAAGACCAGAGAGTTTTGTTCAAAAAGTGGAGAGGGCGGTTCTTTGCTAGAATTTGGGAAAATCCTTTATACCTTTAAGTCCAGAAAAGCCTGACTTTAGCATAATAAGGAGCAAGTATAAAATGTACGGTACAGACCAAAAGTTTGGACACCCTCTCTCCTTCACTGAGTGTCTTTTCATGACTATTGCTGTAGATCCACATCAGGCTGTGTAAGGGCTGTTTGACCAATAAGGAGAGTGATGATGCTGGGCCACATGACCTCCACAGTCACCGGACCTGAACCCAGTCCAGATGGTTTTGGACTTGAACCCAGTCCAGATGGTTTTGGACCTGAACCCAGTCCAGATGGTTTTGGACCTGAACCCAGTCCAGATGGTTTTGGACCTGAACCCGGTCCAGATGGTTTTGGACCTGAACCCAGTCCAGATGGTTTTGGACCTGAACCCAGTCCAGATGGTTTTGGACCTGAACCCAGTCCAGATGGTTTTGGACCTGAACCCGGTCCAGATGGTTTTGGACCTGAACCCGGTCCAGATGGTTTTGGGGCTGGACCACAGAGTGAAGGGGCCAACAAGTGCAAAGCATCATGGGAACTCCTTCAAGACTGTTGGAGACCATTTCAGGTCCTGTTGAAGCTCATCCAGAGAATGCCAAGAGTGAAGCAGTATCAGAGCAAAATGAGCTACTTTGAAGAACCAGGATATAACACATATTTACACTTGTTTCATACTTTCTTTTTAATATGTACATCATTCCAAATTATGTGTCCAAACTCTTGGTCTGAATATAATGCAAGTTTAAAAAAACCTGCATTTCTCCTACAGGGATCAATAAACTGACAGTATCTATCTATCTATCCATCCATCTAACTCTGTCAACAGAAGCAGCAAAGTTATAGATCTGGGTGAAGACCAAAACAGCTATTGAAATCATGTAAAACGTAAAGAAGTGTTTCCATAACTCATTATAGATATAAATAATTCTTTATAGATCCCCGATGGAGAAATACAGGTGTCCAGTAGCAGCAGAAACACAACCATTCAATAAACAAAACAAATACATTGATCATTCTAAAAAGCTAACAACAGTAATAATAACATCAGTCGTTCAGGTCACAGCAGCAGAGGAGGAGCTTGGTTCAGACCATTTTCTCTGCTCTGGTCCAAAGTAAAATGATAAATGCTTCATGAGCATTTTTCATAAAGTTAGCATTCCTCCAGTGGATTTTCACCTGATCCACTTGGTTCAGACCATGAATCCTCTCTGCTCTGGTCTGGACCAGTGTAAAACCATGAATCCTCTCTGCTCTGGTCTGGACCAGTGTAAAACCATGAATCCTCTCTGCTCTGGTCTAGACCAGTGTAAAACCATGAATCCTCTCTGCTCTGGTCTGGACCAGTGTAAAACCATGAATCCTCTCTGCTCTGGTCTGGACCAGTGTAAAACCATGAATCCTCTCTGCTCTGGTCTGGACCAATGTGAAACCATGAATCCTCTCTGCTCTGGTCTGGACCAGTGTAAAACCATGAATCCTCTCTGCTCTGGTCTGGACCAGTGTAAAACCATGAATCCTCTCTGCTCTGGTCTGGACCAGTGTAAAACCATGAATCCTCTCTGCTCTGGTCTGGACCAGTGTAAAACCATGAATCCTCTCTGCTCTGGTCTGGACCAGTGTAAAACCATGAATCCTCTCTGCTCTGGTCTAGACCAGTGTAAAACCATGAATCC